AGCAGCAAGCCCAACTTCTTCAGGTAGGAATTACCATAAGCTTTTTGAGAAAAGTATAAGACTTATTGTTTCCAAAAAAACTTAATTCTTAAAATAGAATAATAAATGGTAAACCAAGCAATAAAGTAATTTAAGAATTCACAGATATCCAATTAAAAATAATTAGATTTGAATTCCAGCTTTACGCTTGAAATGTGGGTACTTAGAATATCCTAAACTTTCTTGGCTTCAGTCATCTTACCTAAAACATACAAAAAATCAAGAGGTAGACTTCTGGAGTCAGGGAAGGGGATAAGTGGGAGAGGAGGGCGAACAAAAGGGAAAGAGAGGTAAGGGGATTGAAATTGATTAAGATGCTAACTGCATGTAGCAACTTCCCAAAATAAACCCCACCATCACATAGTGCTAGCTTGCACTAATAAATTCTTTTCAAAAGTGAAAATGCTTATAAACTTTATGGAACTAATGATATTATTAATGGCCTGACATTAATCAATAAATTAAGAGTATAGGACCTCACTTCTAGTAGAACTCATATATTTTAGAAAATCATGAAAGTATGACCTCACCTAGTGGAATATGTTAAAAGATCCCCTTTCTAAAGTAATCACCTAGAAAAAGTCGCCTTTGTTTCTAGGAAGACTCAATGAGAATAGGGCTGGCCATGCTGAGCTCCTTTGCTTGTCCTCTTGCCTTGTACTTCTATACAGGGAACACAGAAGTATAGAACTATTTGAAGCCTTTCAGTTCTCCCAGAAGCCTTATAATGTGCATATTCTCATATCATTTTTAAAATAGACAAACCAGGCAGAGAAAAGTTTAATAATTTGCCCAAGTTCACACAGCTTACAAACTCACAAGTGTCAAAGTCAGGTTTAGAACAAGGCTATCTAGTTCTGTAATTTATTTACCCTGACTTCTATGCTGTCTCAATATATGTGACATAATATAATCATGGAATAGTTCACGAACCAAAGAATTGCTGCATATAAGCACTAGGTTTGTCATCTGTGTTATAATCATTAACATTGGCTTAGTCACTTTCCTCATAGCTGGAACAAAGTATCTGACACCCTCAACTTAAAGGAGAGAGAATTATTTTTGGCTCATGGTTTTAGTGCATAGTCTGCTGATTCCAAGGCAGGAAGAGCCTGGGAGAAGGAAAGCTGCTCACTTCATCACAATGGCGGGAAGCTGAGTGCAAGGGAGAATCCTGTGAGGCAGAGGCATCCTCCCTGGGGTCACGTCCCCACTGGCCCACTTCTTCTAAACAGGCCCCACCTCCTAAGAGGATATTTAGCTATTTCGTCCTGGTGGTCAAATCACATTCCCAAATCCCTGCTCATGGGCACATGAGGTTTTGGGGAGACATCCAGATTTAACCCATGACAAGTATTGATCTTATTGATTACTGGATGCTACCACATGCAAGGGTGTGCATTGAGTACTTGCTTCTAAGTAGAGTTTAGATTTTCTTTTGCTGAATATTCAGATCAGAGTTAATATCAGTACTTTGTATCTTGGATTTTTAAACTCTATACACCTTTAGCTTTTTTTTCAGTCTGTCGCTTTTTTTTTCCAAATAAAACAAACAAGGCCAAGACTGAATGTTTTTCTAATACAAAGTAAAACTATACTCATCTTGTCATGCTGTGTTATATCATCAGTAATATGTTAAAGCCCTGAAAGAAAGAGACTTACCTCACAGTTTTAACACACCCATCCACCTGTTTATGAATGCCTGGAGGAGAAGGCAGTTGTAAACAGTGAAAATTAGTGATGATTGACTGACTTTCCTCTGTAGACCCTTTTACATACTACTGCTTCTTTTCTAAAATCAATGTATAGATATTTCCATTTTCAGGAAAATGTTGCAAAAACAAAATCATAAAATGATGCCAAACAAAAGCTAAGGGATAATAGAAATGATAAATGGCTAGTTTATTAAATGACTAGTAATAAGATTAATTTGTTCTCTTCTTGCTCAAGAGATGCTTAAAGTAATTGCATCTTTGAAAAGTGCACAGTCATCATTTTATGCTTTTGATGATGTCATAAAACTGTTCCATAGACTGGGACATGTTCAGTAGTTTGTTTCTTGTATCTTTCTTGCTATTGTATTATATTAATCTATAGGTTACTTATCATCCATGAATTTGCAATATTCTATGTTATCTGTATGGTAAAAAGAGGACTGTAAATCAACCATAAAATATATGCCAGTCATAGGAAGGTTGAAATCATGCATATTAAAGTGTTCTAGACAACCATAAAATACACCTAATACCATTTTGCAGTATAAACAGTTTGGGGACCACACTTGTGCACACTAAAAGAAAAAATTTAAAACAAAGAAGAAAGAAGAGAAAGAAACACTTTACTTCAAAATACTCCAAATGTTTAAAAATTTCATTTTTTCTTCAAATATATCCTGCCAACATAGACTTGATTTTTGAACCCTTCTTTTTCATATTTATCCATGTATCATGGGTAAAAGTCTTCTTGCCTTTGTTCTAAAATAAACGTTGTTACATACTAGTTCACAAAACTAAATGATTGTAGCCCTCACAAATATTCTCTACACATATTTTTAGTAAGAAATCAGTACAAGTCTAAACTCCTCAAAGTAGCTCCCCAATTAGTAATAAATTTATTAAATATTCTTTCATTATTATCATCCTGGTTCTATGTTTTATTCCTTATTCATGTAATGAATTTTTTCTTATTTCTGCTAGAAAATTAAATCTTATGCTATTGAATGCCATGCATGCTATTAAATAGCATTCAGTCTGATGGGCCAGATGATGATGAAGTTATTTGAAATGTTATTTTTTGCTAAAATATTTTCACCTTATTTTTAAATAATGCTCAGAACTTTTAAAATGTTGCATTTATAAGTGTTGAAAAGTATCTTTTTGAATATTTTAAGGTATTAAATACAAAGAATTTCTACGGTGAATTATTTTGTGAGCACCTGTTTTTGGAAGAGGCAAGTAAGTGATTATTTGTGTGTGTTACATAGAAATTATAAATTATTGATGTGAAATTTAATAAATAGAAACTTTGTACCAGGTGTTGTAAGTATATTCCTAATAATAGTCCCAAAGAAGCTGTTTCAGTTTTTCTCATAGACTTGAAAGGAGTTTTGATAAAAGGTCCCTAGTGGCACAATGAGGTCAATGCACCACTGAGAACTGAGGTCCAAGAGGGAGGCAGAGGACCTGTAGGAAGCACTGCTTCACATGTGTTAGGCTTTAACTTACTGTCTCCACAGCCCATCACAGATGAAATCTAGGTTTTTAAAAATTACTCTTCAAAGCATAAGACTCACAAATTAATTTATAAATGGTTGAGTTTCAAGCCGAAAGAAAATTGAATTATTCATAAGAAAAACGTAGCTAGTTAATTGTTTTAATATCAAGTAAACATCATCATTTATGTTAATCAAATAGATCATGTTCAGTTACTTAGAAATTTTCCAGAGTCATCTTCAAGATGTTTTAAATTCTTCACAGAAAAACACAGTAAAGGGTTTGAAGTAATTTATGTCTTAACAGAACACAAAATAAACTTTTCATAAATAATTTAAGTTTTGTTTTTGCTTAAGGTTTCTTTTTCCCCCTTGAAATTTTAAGGCATATAAACAAGAATACACCAATAGCCAATAGCATATTAATTCAATGACATGTTTGTATTTGTTTCAGAAAAAACTTACACAATCACTGCTGTTCATCCATTTATATGAATAAAGCTAATAAAGGCAGATATGTAATTCACACCATCAGAGAGGTCTATATACTTCAACATGTTTATTCTCAGAGAAGTTAGGGAAGAAAGGATATAATGTTACTGCTTCTGCACAACCTGAAAACATCAAGTGGGGAGTGACTGGCAACTAACTATTTAAGAATTATATTCTGACCGTGTGGAATATCAGACGTTGCTGAGGGTAAGATCAGTAGCAATTAAGTGTAATATGCCAGTTTCCAAAGGTCTAGCTTCACAACTGATTAAGTCGCTGTCATCTATCATTTATTTCTACATCTAGTGACACCTGTTGTCCAAAGAAAGGCACAAAATACGAACAGGACTTTGTGTACTTTTTATGTTAAAAAAAACCCCAAACTTTTCGCCTTTAAAACACATGCTCATATACACCCAACACCTATTTACTGTAATGCTTTAATGAGCATAGCAACAGATTACTCTGAGGGTAGCTATGTCCGTCCTTCATGGAAGACCCTACTCATCTCCATCCTGGCCATTGAGAATCTACATCCTTTTAAAGAGACTTCCCCCTCTTAAAAGTAAGGGAGGGTGGATACAATATAAACTGTTCAACAGAAAGAGAGTGCTGAAAATGAAAAATCAGAGACAATGCTGGGAAGCTCGCCCATTTTAACCCATTTGCCTTGCACTGATTTGACAGATTTAATTGTGTGCCTTTTGTATGGTGAGACCTTCTTCAGTTATTACCGAGTACACCTCAATCCAGCCCTAGCTGAATTCATTCTCTGAGACGTCACTAACTTGGAATAAGGTGTGAGAAGGCAAGGCGTCTGGGCATAACCTGAACCCGGTTCTTTGCCAGTCCTCCCGAGAACAAAGGCTGTGATTCAGGACTCCTGGAGGGACCCACCGTGCACTGGTCTGGTCCCAGAAACCACTCCTGAAGTCGAGTCCGGCCGGGAGAGGGTGGCATTTCTGCTGCGGCTTTTTCTGTTTCTGGTTGCGTCTACCCCACCCCTTTTCACTCCTGGGCGAGGTTGTACCGCCCAGGTTCAGGCTGGAGCCTTCTCCGTGGCTACTGAACAAGGCACTTGGGGAAAAAATTGAACTTTTCGCTGTGCCTTTGGGTGAGAGGAGAAAAAACGGCAAGATCCATTTTTGCGCACTTCCTCCCAGTCCCATCCCCGTCGTAGCTCTCCATCGCACCCCACCCCGCAGCTCCGCGCAGTCTGTGGCCCGCGTAGCCCCTGAGCAGGCTCCCCCAGACTTACCGCTGACGACCCGGCGGCAGAAGGCTCCGTGGCCGCAGAGCAGTGCTGCGCCCAGCAGCAGGGAGACCACGCGCATCTTCCTGGCGAGGCGGCAGCAGCAGGTGTCTCGCAGCTAAGGTGTCCTCCGCCCAGGACTCTAACCCTGCAACCTCTTTGCCTCCCGCTGGGTCCTATTCCCTCCGCCCAAGGCCAGTCGCCTGGGCTCCTGCTCGCATAGCCCTGGTGTGGGACCTGCCTTCAGGCGTGCTTGTGCCGCGCGCGGGTGTGTTGGGCTAGGGCCTGCAACCCCGCGGGTGTGAGTTTGAGGACAGGGGACTGAAGTTAGGGGGTCCTGTGCCTGTTTCAGATGTGAAGCAGGAGCCCCAGAGTGGACCAGTCTGTTGCCCTTTGCTTCTGTCCCTGGCTCCTGTCACTGAAGGGCTGGGCTCCTGCGACCTGGTGCGGACTCTTGCGGCAGTAGCAGAGGCTCTGCGCTGAAGGCACGGTCTTATATAGACACATCCTTGGGTCCCTGCCCCTCGCTGGTAATAATTTTTAACTACTTCGTCTCTTCTGCTAAGCAGAATCATCATGGCCACTCCTCCCAAAAACTGGAGCCACTTTGCAAACCGTCCAGTCAGCAGTCCCACCTCTTTCCTCCCCCTCCTCCTCCTGCCCTCTTCCCATTGGCTAACAGACTCCGAACTCATTTGTGTAAAATGTGACAGCTTTGCTATTAAACTCTGGCAAAAGTTGGATCCATTTGGTTTTCTCAGAGATAAATGTCCATGGGGATGCCAAGTTGTGGGGACTTTCTCTAAATTGCTTAATCATGTGAATTGCTAGATGCAGGGCAGTAGCCACTATTTAAGACGGATTGGCACACTGGGAGCCAAAACCTGCTCTGTGAATTATAGAAAGCAGCAGGTTTTTCCCCACCTAGGTTTGGTATATAGATTATTTCCAAGCAGGTTGTTTGACTGAATTGCAACAGAAGTAAATTGAAGGGAATATTGGAAGCATAGCTTTCCCGACTGATATCAATCTCAGTTTCTGCAACTCTAGAGAAAATCATCAAGACAAAATAAATATTCCAAATTCTTGGGAAATTCCTGGATATAAAATTTACTTATTTCTTTATAGTCATTTATTGGTGACTTACTGTTCACATTAGACATAAAGTTCATCTTAAAACATACAAAGCAATGTTTCCATAACCTGACCTGCTCTTTACTGTAACTGTCCACTCACAGAATGGAATAGCAGTCTGTGATGGGACATTTTTCTGTATCTAGCTTATGGTATGAACCCTAAAACTCCTCTCATAATAACCCTCAGTAGACTTGGCATTTTCCTATTGTATTGCTCTAATGTGCCAAGATTTGTTAAATAAAATCCATTTGTCTTAATGAGTAGTACATTTTCTCCTAACATCTCGCTGTCTCTGGTTTTCATAAGCCATAAAGATGCTTTAAATATTTGTTGAATTTTTTTCTTGAAGAAGAGATGTCAATGTTACCATAGTCTGAACAAGATCTTTCGAATGAAAAATGTTAATACTTGGAAAGAACTTACAATTATGTGTGCCCTAGCAATGAATTTTTCATTGTATTATTTGTAAATACAGAAATTTTGGCAGGGGCATGGAAAATTGAAAAGTCTGGATTTTGTAAAGGATCTGTGAGTTTCACCACAAACTATTCACCAAATTAAAAAAGAAAAACAGAAGTTCCGAAATTTTGAATGGACAACTGATAAAGTATCAAGGCAGTGAAAGTGTAGCTGAACCCTACAAAAACTGTCAAAGTGGATCTGTGGGTGTAAATGTGGTCAGAGTGCTGCCTTCCAGAGGCTCACAATCCATCATGAAAAAAGAAATGCAATGAAATATTGATTGGGAGTCAAAACAGCTTTTGTGGAAGAACAAATGAAATATCATTTTAGCATAGAGGAATTAGGCATATGTTTCTAGGTGTATTTGCACGCACTCTCCAGAAGCAGTCAGGTTTGGGGGTGCAGGTTACCTTTGGCTGATGGTATGCGGGACCTCTCCAAATGCCTGAGGACTTAGATTCTTCATGGGATTTCCTAACCTCTTTCATGCCACTCTATTCCCAAAGCTTGTTCATCTCAGGTATGAGCCCAGCGATACAAGATTACAACATAAACACTGGATATAATTTCCTACAAATCAATGGACCCTCTACTCTCTCAAAAGTCTCTAAAGCGTAAAAGGCCAGCAAGTTCTCCAAAGCAAAATTGGGAGGGAGGAGTACCATAGCTTTAACATTTCAGAAAATCCAAATTATAGTAATAACTGTATACTGAATACGGTGACACAGGCTTCATATTATTTGGGGGCTAGAATTATATCAGTTTAAAGTGGCCATACTCAAGCTGCTGAACTCAGGAAAATACAGGCTCATTTTAGATATAATGTTTTTAAGGGAACTGACTGATAAGATCAACTTTTTTGTCTCTCTATCACTCAAAAATAATCTGGATAGATCATTGCTAAGTTCAGGGAGTCTAGTTTGTATAGTCTTAAATATGGAACTTAAAAGTACTAGATATTCTCTTTGCAGATCGCCAGGGGACTTCTCTCAAATAGCATATATTTTCTCATATAGCATAGCAGGAAGTAAAAATTAAAAGACTTCAAAAAAAATGGAATAGTTAGTGGAAAACAACAAATACTCATTATTTTTTAAACATGCTTTCAGCACTCCCATTCTCTACCTCCAGAGCTTATGGGATCATAGGAGACAAGTGGCTTTTTGATGGCAAACATTATATGCTCTAAATTAACTACAGTAAATAGAAGTTAAAAGTTGTGTTCAGAGCAATCAAAAGATGGAGGGGTTCATCAATAGCAAGCAAGAGAATGTAAGGCATGTGAGGAATTGTTTGTATCATGTGTAAAGTTAGGACCAAGGTCAGCTGAAGTCAAGGCCCAATGAGACCATGTGACTGGCAGTCTGGAGAGGTAGTCCTCACACAGTAAGACGCTCTGCCTAGTAAAGTAAAACAACAACAATAACAATAATAATCATCATCATCATCATCAAATGACAACTTTCAGAACTTCAAATTGATTCTACCAAGGAGTTCAACATCAAATCAACACCTAAGATGCACTCTTGAAACCCAGAAATGGAAAAGTGACCTCAGTTCTAAGTAGGAGTAGCCACAAAGTAAACTCAGGAATGGGTTAATTACTGAATTCTCAGAAGTTCTAAAACATCAATAGCAACCATATTTGGAAATTTAAGTTTTAAAAAGTCATATCAGTGCCCTTAATAGTATATTATAATGGGTGTATGTTCCATACATATGACTGATTTCATCACTCTCCCCATCCACTTTCAAAGGTCTGAAATCCCAAGTAAGCATCTGTTTCATAAATCTGTTAATACAGCTCAAGACAGCCTGAATTGCACACACTGATTTATAGTCAGTGACTTCTCCATCGGACAGCTCTATGCAGTGGCTTTACCCTCCATCACCTGATTCATTCACATGTGTTCCAGTTCAAAAAGTGACAAATATGGTCTATAAAGGAGACTTCTTACCATATATAGTACTATTACAATTTTGTAATATATTTGATATCAGAATCCATTATTACTTTGTTCACTCCATTTTATTTTATGATATGTAATGTTTTTTGTGAATAATATCAATAGTACTACCAGATATAACAAAAATGTTTGAAGGTTTAAAAATAAAACCACTACTACACAGTTACTTCAAGAGAAGGCACAATCAATTTTTTCCTAGGTAATGGTTTGTTGCCACTTTCAGGAAAACAGCATCAAATCCAAAGATGTTCCTCACAATGTTTTAGAGATGACCCTTCAGCATCTGTGTGATCCTGCAACTGGCTCAAGTGCAAGGATGTGCAATGGGCCAAATTCCTCTGAGATTTACTTGTTGTTTTCAAAACATGTCTGTGTCACAGCCTGCATGACTTACTTCACTCAGGAGCCAGTTCCCATTCTTCCTTATGATTTAAGAAATTTTAAACTTTGCATGAATAAAGAAGAGATCTCCATTGTTCATAGTGATGTTAGAAATGCAATGAAGAATTACACATGCCACAAAAGCATGCTTTCCTAAAACTTGAAGTTTAAATTTAGTAATATTTAAGTTGCTATGTAGAGTAACCATTCAGGTAATAATATCAAAATGTTTATGATCTCTATTAATAGAAATATAAATTACCAAATCTGAAGAATCTTATGTGAATGATTAAATATTGGCTCAGTAATCAAATTTCCTTATATTTTTAAAAATGTAATTAAATACTGTTATCAATCTGGCATGAGACAATCTTTTTTTGTTCTAATCTTGGATTAATTTGCCAAATCTGGTCTTAATATACATCAAATAACAAAATAAATTGATACAATCAAACCAAAAAAGGTATAAGTTAAAGTTATTTTTGCTTCAAATGTCTGGTCTGAATTATTAGGTATATAACTGATAAATTTCATTCAGATTTATATGAAAAGTTTGAATTATTGGTTGGTTAGCAGAAATGTAAGACCAAATTTTCAGAAAAAAATGCTTTTGAACAAGTTTCTTCACCCCCTTGGGTTTCACTTTTAAAATATAAAAAGAATGAATTAGAGAAATTCTGTGCTTCCCAACTGAATGGCATTTCACACCAGAAATGTTGTTACTGTATTTCACAAAATTTTCAAATCATAAGCTGTATGTCCTTGGCCAGAATTTCATATGTTATCTGAATATGCGGAGTGATATTTCCAAATGTACCTGGATTCTATTATTGTAATAAACGTAAACTTCATTTTAATGTATCATTAAATTCTTAAAGCTTCTTGAACATATTTGGTCAATATTTACTAAAGAAACAATTGCTACTATGTGGAGTTCTAATAAAATATGTATGTTAAAAATAAGGTTCTATAATCAAATAATCTGAGAATTAGTAGATTTGAATGTTTCTGATGTTCTTTTCAGCTTTACAGTTCTATTTTTCTAAAGCTAAAAAAGCTTGGTATCTTCTTTCATTTCTCCCTTCCTTTTCTCTTTCTTGCATCCTTCCTTCCTGTCTGTCTCTCTATTAAAAAGACAATGTCAGTTTATGATGAATTTTGTGCTCTTATTCGATTTGCAAATTATTCAGAAAATAGGAGTCCTGGAAAATTTTTATGGTCCTTTGAGTAACAGATCAACATACTTTGCAGATGTCACATAAAGGAAAATTCTAAACAAAGCAAAATAAAACTGAATGCCAAGTTGAGTAAAAGATAATCACTCAGAGACCACAAAACTATAAATACTTGATGAACCAAGATATTTTTCTATAAAAGTTCTATATTTTACTAAAAGTAACATTATATAAAGGAGAAAGAAAAATCCGAAAACACATCTTTATGTTATTCACAGATATTTGATATTTTTTCAAATATATCAAATGACCAGAAAATGATGATGCCAAAGCAAGGGATATCAACCATAAACTGGTTTATGTGGGATGATATATAGTTAGAAAGAACTGAGGAAAAAAACAAAGGTATCAGGACAAAAAATCAATTTGAATATCCTTCTGGATGTACATCTGTCACTACTACTTTTTTATATACTGTTTCTAGGAGT